GCATTGTCGATGCTTACGATTATCGAGGTTGCGTCGCCGCCGAAGAAAATATTCTTATCGACGATCAGTCGAAACGAAGTTCGAAGAAAGAAAAAGAAAAATGGAGAAAAAGGTTCCAGTGAAATCACGAGCGAATCGCGGTCAATTGATTCACGTTGAAGCTATTCTAATACCCATGCGTACGCACACTCGTGAAGGTGTACGCTCTCGCGGTACAACTACGGATGTAATTACATCGCGAACGAACCGGAAGTGGAAACGGTCTGCTCGGTTTTTGCCGGTTAAATGGCTACTTTACACGCTTGATTATTTCAAAGAATCGACCGAGCGGCACGGAGATTCGCTTGTCGCATTCCATTCGATTTGGATTTGGACAGGCCTATTTTTTCAAACAGCCTACATTCCATGCTTTTAGCGCGTATCGCAGTAACGATGTCGAACGATTATTAAACAGTGTGCGCGAAAAGTAAGGTGACTCGAACTTGTCGTGTCTCGAACATATTTCCAGTGAAATTTTCTCTCGAAATTTCATTTCCAGTAACGAATTTGATTTTTAGCAACGAAGAAAGAACAATTATTTTCCATAAAAGTAGAAAATCTTGTACCATTGTATTTCTTATTTCTTATTTTATTTTATTTTATTTTATTTTATTTTATTTTATTTTATTTTATTTTATTCTATTCTTATCATTATTGTTATGAATCTTATCGAAGACTGTCGAACTCTAAAAATACCTGGAAGCTAGAGGAAAAATCGCCACGAAACATGAAAAAGGAAAAACGAAAAAGTTTCCACTCGAATTCTGTTCGCCGGTGGCGAGGCTGGTCGGTAACTATTCGGACACCGTGTATACGGGGCTCGCGGGGAAAGGGTTAACGCGTGAGCCAGAAGAAGGTTCTTCGCGCACACGAGTACACGTGCTGGATCGAATGAATGATATCTCGAGAGTTTGGCGTGCCAGTGTCGAACGTGTGCGTAATTCATTGAGGAATCACGCCGGGGACCCCGTCGTTCGAACGAACAACCGTCGCCTCTTCTTTGCACGAAATACTTTCGCGCCGGCGATATTTCCAATACGCGAGAGACACGAGGAAAAATCAGCAAATCGAATCGGAATAGTTCCCCGCGAAACCTGCGAGTCCATTGCACTCGTTCAAACCTGTTAACACGTTCACCTCCGCGGTGGTCACCGATCGCCGGAGCTTTCAGAGTCGTTTCAAAACAACATTGCAATTAGAGCACCGACTTTTCACAAGAAATATAATACGAAGGAGAACTCGCAACTGTTCGCTGGCTAAACCGAAACTAAGTCAACACGTTACGTTGACACGCCTATCAGGGAAAATGTAAAAACAATAAACTAAATAATAATCTAACAAGTTCGTAGCAAACGATCAACGATCGATATTAAGAATATTTCCCTTTGTTACGAAGGAACGAGTAACGCGGAGAACGCTGAAAATTTTCATGCCGGTCGATGCGCGTTAATCGTTCAGGTGTTTCGACACTATTGTAACGCTTTAATTCCGAACACGACGAGTCCTGATTCTAATTAATTCGCTTCGTTTAAGGCTGAATGCACGCTCGAGCTGGTTCATCGTTCGATTGGATCACGATTCTCTCGTGATTCATCGGATAAACGTTCGTTCGCGTTATCGCATCTATTTGCTACTTCTTCGATATTTTCTTCTACCTTCGATCTAGATTTCGATGTTTGTTTAATATTCGAGAAACCTTTATCGGCAAGGAATTATCGTGTCGGTTTTATCAGAAATGCCGCTGTCTTGTTCCAATTAACGGAGAAGCTAACGAGCGCGATATGGACGCTCCCATAAACGCATATTTTCTAAACTTTTCTTTAACCACCAACGAGTTCCAACTAACTCTATTCGAATCTTGGAAACTTGCAGTTTCATTGTACTTTAATATAGTATCGTTGCTATAAAAAATGTGTATAATTATAATTTAGTTACGTTGGCAAATATTCTACGTTCGACGCGAATGTTTTGATCGGAAAGAATTGTTCGGCGGCGGTAAGCGTGTCGATGTTCGTACGTATTAGAAACGAAATGTCTATCTACGTGCATCCACGGTGCACGTAAACGCTGCGCGGCGCGACGCGGCGCGACGCGGCGCGGCAGTAAGGCAGGTATCGTGGCCGCGTAAACGACGCCAGGAGTAGTCGCGTCTCGAGGCTGACGAGCGGACAAAAGAAAAGAAAAGAAAAGAAAAGAAAAGAAACTGTTTCAGGTGATGCCACGGGAGCCCGCGAGGGGATATCTGTTGACCGTGTTACTGTTATTGCTCGGTCTCCATAAGGCTGGCTGCTCGACATCCGCTCCTCAATATCCGGTCTGTAAACCGGGTCTCGAATTTTGGTCCGTCGAGCGTGCCACCTGTTGGCCTTGCACCAGATGCGCCCCTGAGTTCACCTTGAGCCCCTGCGCGATTTACAAGGATGCGATCTGCGGCCCGCTCCCGGCCCTCAAGCTCCATTGGCCCTTCCTCTCGACCGTCACCCCGAAGATGCTATGGAGATTTCCGGACATGGACCGCCAGCAGATCCGACAACAGTCGAAGGACATCGCCGATCGACCGGATTTCGAGGAGGACGTCGGATTGAAGCCCAGTGATCAGGTGACGGGACACCTTGTTCCACCGGAACTTTCATGGATCTTCCAAGATAATGCATTTTCGCTTTTCTTTCGGACCAATATCGATCTCGAATCTCTCTGTCGATCTATTTCAGTGGTGTCGTGGTTCTTAATAGGGGATCTATTTAAACTGTACTACTTTGTCTATTCGTAAAAAGAAGAATAAGAATATTCGTGCACGAACCGATTTACTTTCGTCGAATCCGAAAGTTGCTGGTAATTCGGAGGTTTCGAGGGAACTTTCCGGTACTGATCTCGATCGTTATCGAATTCCAGAGGACCAGCGAAACACAGACACGCAAAGCGTCTGGTTCGGGGGAGAGGATCCTGTGGGATTGGCAAACCGCCGCGCTGATCCTCGCCGTATGCGCGTGCATTCTGTTCTTCTTGGTCGCAGGATGCTCGGCTTTGGTCTACGCGAGACAGTGGCGTCGGATGAAGAAGAATTTCGAGCCAGGTAACGGATCGATTCCAAGCACTCGTTGGTATGCAGGACGAGTGGGTCCAAAGGGTACATCTAATTATCTCATTATCGCCGAAAAATAGCCTACCGAGATATGTATATGCTTCTGCCGTCGTACTTTTCTCCTCGAGCCATCCAATTTTCCAAATCCTTCGAATCGAACGCAACGGGAACGTATTAATCGCCGTTCGAAGATTACAATTTTCGATTGAAATTATATTCGATAGACTACCGATCGTTAATATTAATGTTGACCAAAGGATTCTGCGTCCGGAACGAAATCTCGAGGAAATCCTGCTTTCCAATTGGAACAAGTTCCCACAGGGTGTTCGCATCCTAGGATTTCGTCAAATCTGATCCCCCGGGATCGATAAGTCGATCGTGGGGAGGGATAAGAAGTCCTTTAAAATGCGAGGCAGATTTTCTTCATTAGAGGGCCGCTCACGACCTCTGCTCACCTTGGCTCGATCTATCACGCCCGGATATGACGTCTCGGGTTTCGATGCTTCTCGTTTCTTTCGTGATGCTCCGTTCCGCGTTTTCTTTCTACCCGTTCGCTAACCACGCCTCTGCCATTTCTAATTCTTTTGCTTTTCGCTGGACCCAGAATTTCGCAAGTTCCTCGAATCCAACCGAGGAGACATTTTTCCATATTAATAACAAATCGACGGATGCTAGCCTAAGTCGAAGCTGAAAATAATCGATCGATTACGAATAAGCCCAGCTATAAAAGAAGAGAAACAAAGAGAAAGAAAGAGAATTCGGCGAGGGGGTTGAACGTTAACGAAATGCGCGGTACATATTAAACGGGTCGATTCCATCGGCTCGCCGCGCGTTTTCTCGGGAAGCGTGCTCGTCGGCACCGGGGACGGGGAACAAAAGAGAAGAAGGGGATGCACCGCAGAGAGGAGGGGGAAAAGAGAGGGCTCGACAGTTCCGCGTAATGCTCGTTATGCAAATGCGAACAGTATTATTGTACAAACGTTCCTCGTCGATCGCAACATTGTTCTTGCCTCTGTTACGCGCGATCTACACACGCACGCGGTTTCCCATGGGAAGTAAAGCGGACGAAATCGAAACAATCAATTTCCATCGACGTCTTACTGCCTTGCTCGTTGAAGGGACCGGCAACTCGAGGATCGCTGCCGGTGTCTAACCAAACTATCTCGTATTTTTCGTTAAAAACCAAATCTATCTTGCATCGGATTCTTGGCTTTCGAGGGAAACTTTGCAAACTGGTGCGCGAAGTGTACGTCCAGCTCGCTTCGGGCGTTGTTCGAACGCGTTCCGGTGCAAATAGAACAGTTCCGGTATCGAAGATAGTCGAACGTTACGGAAGCGTATCTTTTATTCGAGTATTTAGTCGGTTGTTCGCGGGATCATTGGCTTTCCCCTTCGAGTGAGATCGTTCCTCGTTGCAATTCCAACATCTGCGAATCATCCCGCGATCGTTGGCTGTGCTGATGGACACTGCGTCTGGACACTGTCATTGTTTCCTGTATAGCTCGACTATTCGCGCCGTCTCCGGGCTAGGGGATCTAGAATTCTTATTATAGCTTGTTTTCGATCATTCTGCCGCGTGTACCTTCGATTATCGAGAAACGGATGAAACAGATTTTACACGGACGTCTCGCTCGAATCTGCTCGTTATTTATAGGCGTGCGCGGCTGATAGGCGTATCGTAAAACATTTCTGTAGCGGTGTTTGTCAACGTTTCGTTGTTTATCCGCTGCTCGAGAAACTGCTGCTCGAAAAATGCGAGTGTAACGCTGGTGTTGCTCCGAGTCCCGACGCAACGTTCGGCCGAAAAACATTTGAAAATATATCTCTCGAACGACGGTTGTCGATGGAATCGATGTGGAACGCGCGTTAAGGTCTCTCGTACGAGGATATCGTAACGGCAATTTGCAGTGGTGAGCGAACTGCGAGGAATTCGAAGTAGTTGGAACGCGTTAACTCTGCGCGGCCAATACCATTTTAAATATTTTCGGATACTTGAACGATTTCGGAGGGTCTACGCGGCTTTCAGTTCTGGAATTATGCGAGCCGCTAAGTACGAAAACAAACGGGAATCCTGCGTTCGGTTCCTGAAATAATCACTGGCCAATGTCCCAATTATCTTCTTCTTTGAATCGGCCATCGCGGCACTACGAACGCTTCTATTATTCGCCGAAATACACTGTCCCCGTAAACGAATCGTCTCGTTTGAAAAAAAGTTGCTCGTTATCGGTGCAGCGCGTTTCTCTGTTTATTAAGAAACTAATTTACGACAATGGGGATCGGGCAAGCGACTTGTTTATTCGTTCTTCGAATATCAACGCTTTTTTCCTCTTTCTTCTCGAAATGTTTATTTTCAATGCTGTAGTTTCGTGTTTTGTTATTTACATTAAAGGCAGCATTAAAGATTAATCGAGGCTCACGCGGTCCGACGAACGGCACGAGTGGAATTCAGGAATTTTGAAAGGTTTCTTTAACATTCCAATAGCTGAACGTTGATAAACGTACGATCGGTTTGATGCGGATTTCTACTTGACTTGCGTCCGAACTGAAAACAGAAGGTACTGCTGGCGTATCCAGTGACGGATCGGTAATACAAGCGAATGATCGCGCATTCGGTACCGTTCCATCGCTGGCTACGCTTACTAAAGGGGACTCCTGTTAGGGCTCATTACCTGATCCCACTACCAATGTTGTTCACCCACCACTGACAACAATTCATCAATATCCACCTGGACTCGTGCAGCTACTACTCTTCCATCTTTGCTATTTAGATGTATCGAATATACGCTGAAAACCGATTGGCTGTTTCCGTTTCCGTTTTCGTTTTCGTTTTCGTTTTCGTTTTCGTTTTCCTTTTCCTTTTCCTTTTCTTCGCTGCACGGTAGAATAAATTAGTCGAACATCAATTTCAGCTCGAACTTTTAGTTTCGCTTGGAAACGTAACGCGATACATTAGCAAATATTCTCAATCTTTAACATTACAATCGTACAACGAATCTTTGATCACCAGTTCTAAATGTAAACTAATTTTTCAAGTAGAGTGAATTTCATGGGCAAATATTTTTAATATGAATTTTTATCGCTAAACGAGTATTATTGTACCGGTGTCGAGGCGAAGATAGCATAGAGTATTGTAAAAAATAAATTAAATATTTTATTCGAATACTAATTTGAAGAAAAATTTGTTTGGATAATACGCAGCCCTGTTCGTTCGGCAAGTTTTCTTCTGTAGCAGGCAACGAAAAGAAAGCCAAGCTTTAGACTGGAGCGAGGCTATCGCTAGATTCATCTCATGGGGCCTTGAGAAAGCAGAACCGCATTCCATAGCCGTTCAACTCGCATTCCACCCTCGATAGGCCGTAGACACCATCGTGCCGCGCTCC